CATAAGTAGTTGGAGAAGCAGTATCAGAATAATAGTTGAAAAGTTTGTATAGTAGATAAAATATGACCGGCATTGAAATCTAAAATCTGAACGATGAAATGAATTTGATTACTCAAAAAGTAGTCAAAAGATAATATTATTAGTGAAATATTGTTATGCTTTGAGTCCTTTGTACTTAAATATTTTCCTTTCTGTAAGTTCCATAAATATATGGATTAAGGCCAGCATAGCTCGACATACATTTTTCTGCAATTATAGCTATGAACACAAAAGACGCTCTGAGTATTATACAAGATATATTTACATGCATGTTATTCAACTTTATTACTATTAGTTAGAGTATAACCGGTTTATAGACATACAAGCTGCTGCGGTATCGTGAGTTGTATCGAATTAAATCACATGCTCACCACCATTTGTGCAGCCCTATCAATTTCTTTGAGTTTCAGTCATGCCACTGCATTCTCCAGACAAAATATTTCACACTTTAGTTGGATCCTTGGCTAAAATTGAACGCTCTTCGTTTATGCATGGATTTACTTCTGGGATACTAGTCATGTTCATTTCCTATCTCATCATTGGACAAACATCGAATTTTGGTAGATTCTAAGACACGTTAAACGTTCAACATTTCCTAAAGATCCTTCAGAAATCCAATTTTAAGGGTCATAATTTGACATTCCTTAAGATGGAAGAATACCATATATCTGGTAGACCAATTTACGAAGCTATCTTCTCTTGCCATGTTATATCCCTTCTTCTTGCTAAGTTATTCCTTAGAGAATGTTTTGTTGTCAGGATCCCTTGTGTTTTGATAAGTGGCAGTAGTACCTATTTTACCTTCCATTCGGGCCGATGTTGAGAAATGAAAGTTTGAAGTTTTTTGGCCCAAAAAAAAGAGGGAGATGGTGGTGTCGCAAATTAAGCCCTATTTATGTGCCCATCCCCCAATCCAGTATACATGGATATATGAGTCATATGACAATGTGGAGGTAAACATTTATGGTCATATTGTTTAACCAAAATATAAGATTCTCGGTCAAAGTCTATTTTTAGAAGAACTCGGGTTACTGATAACCAAGAAATTCCGTACTTTCTCAATTATATAAAAGGAAATAAACGTGACAAGAAATATAGAAATAATTGATTGAAAACAAAAGAAAGTAATTGTATTCCAGTAAGAATCAGAACGTGCCTTTACAAGTGATATTCTCTTCCCTTATATAGGGGTTTACAAATATAACGTTTCATTCCTTTTATGTCTGAGTCATTGTGAGCATTAATGACATTAAATGAACCGTTATAATTGGCGATCGTAACTGTCCATGAAGATTCTGTAATGATTCTGATTCTTCTTCCTCATTAATTGGAGGTTCGTGAATCTTTTCTTTTTATTGTCTTGATTCATTTCATCCGTGTCTCTTCATTGAATAATGTAGGATCGAGCAACTGCGTCCTTTCATCTCGTGAGTGATTTGTTCGTACCTCTTGTAACTCGTGTATCTTTTAATTATTACACTCCATTTGTCATCTTCTTAGTGATCCACGTATCATGCCCTGTCATCCACATATAATTCCACGTGTATTATTTATTTTCTACCAATACAGATAGTCCCCACTTGCCGAATATTTTGCAATTGAATATTTGGAAAGTACGTATTTATGGAGGGAATATTTTTTCATCGTTTCCCATGTATCATCGCGTCTTCTTCAGAACTAACGCGTCGCATGTCACTTTCATTTAATGTATGTGCCACATGGCCTTCGTTGATTGGGTCTGCGACTCTTCAGCAGTTTTTAGGGCTTTCTTGCAGTTGCGTCAGTCACGAAGTGACTATTTTTTTATGACGTTTCCATCATGACTTACTTTACATGACAATTGCTTTTTCTTATAAATACCTCATGTGCGTTTAGTTTCATAAAACCTTCAATCTATAGTGTTCTTCTTCTTTAATCATTCTTGTTCTTCAGCACGCATTATTTTCTTGTATAACCATGTCTTCATCAAAACCCGATCCTCGCAGAGTAGTAATTGTAGATGAACTTCCCCCTTCAACTACTCCTGTTAGGAGTAGAAGAGGTGGTAGATTACGTAGTTTAGGATCTGTATCTATTCGTGGTTCTACTTTCCAAACCAACATTGTTACTCCTTCTTCTTCTAGGACTAGGGATTCTTCAACCCATAGATCTTCTGCCAGAAATAGGGAATCAAGTGAACCCATTCGAGAACCAACGGTTGATGAAATAGTTCCTCAAGAATTTTCTTTCTCTACTGATTGTGAATCGATTAGGAACCAAGTTACTTCTATGACTTCCCATGATCGTGCCGATGTCTATCCTTCCCAGATTACTAATGGCTTGATTTCTCTTGTGCGAAGAGAATGCCACTAGAAATCTGATTTTCCAATTTTAGTTCCTGGCTCAAACCAAAGGATAACTTCGTACGAGGATGGTTATTCTTTTGTTTACACATATCCTTTTACCTTAGGTTTCAGACCACCTATTGACTCAGCGATCATAGAATTTTGTCATTTCTTTAACGTTTTCTTAGGACAGATCGGTCTTATTGTATGGAGAGCTGTTGCATGTCTACGATACCTATCTAATTTGGCTTTCTTACCATTTACCTTTCAACATTTGCTTCATCTTTATTCCCCTAAGTTGTTTCGTTCAGTGGTCTTTACTCTCGTGGCCAAAAGCAAAAGAGTTTTAGTTAGTCCTGAAGATGATAGAAATCGTGGCTAGTATGCCCGTTTCGTTGCTGCTCCCACAAGTGATTTGGTGGGTGAGGAGAACATGCCTTTTCCAGAAAAGTGGAATTTTGCACGTAAGTTTTTTTTTAAAGTATCTCTCTTCTTCTTTTATGAGGGAAGAAGAAACTTACGATCTCGTGGCTTTTTTTCTTTTTTTTTTTTAAGCAACCATGGAAGTTTTTGAAGAAATACCAAACTTTCGTGCTTGGGTAGAGAAATTGTTGTTGGTTGCTCCTATGGAAGGAAGGTCTTGGAAATATTTTTCTCATAGGTTTGGTTGGAAAGTCAAGACTCATAGTATCATTCTCTTTAATTTTCCTCTTTTCTTTTGTATTTACTTGGAGGTTACTAATTGTTTCCTCTGCTAGGGTTTCTCATTCGAGGTGTCACTGCCGCATCTATTACTTCATCAAGACTCTCTTTGTCCCTTGCTCAAGAGATGATTTTAAATTCTTCATCAAAGAGAAAAGCAGATGGAGCTCGTGGCTCGGAGGGTGAAGAGGAACAAGAAGAGGGTCCTTTAGTGTGCAAGCCTCGGGCTAGGAGGCGCGTTATTTCGGATGATGAAACCACCCCTCCTCCAAGTTCAGTTCCTATGAATGATCCTGAAAGTACTACTTTAGTGAGTTCTGATGAAGAGATGAATGTTGCCCCTCGTGACTTTATCGATCAATTGTTTTCCCGTGGTTTTGATAGTGAAAATTTTGGTCCTGTTTCCGAAGAAGTACCCCTTGCCTCTTTTCCAGTGTCAGTTCCTATTGATTCTCAGATTTTCGCTCCTGTTGTTGCTGCTACTGCTCCTCCCGTGGTTGTTTTCACTTCCTCAACTGTCCCTATTGCTACCACTTTTCATGTTGAAGTTGGTACTTCTAGTAGAAATAGGATGATGAAAATGGTTACCATAGAAGTCCCCGAGGATGGTAATCTTTTTAAAAAATCTGGTCAAGCCAACGTATGGCTAAAACCTATACTTGGCCCAGTTGAGAAGTCGAAGTTAGAAAGCCACAGTTCCTTGATGTGGATGAATGATATTGTTCATTCATCTTTGAAGGTACAAGTCTTAGCTCTTTCCTTTATTTTCCTCATGATTTTTTATCTTTGTTTGATAATCACTTCTTCTTTTTCTTTTGTAGATCAACTTGATAGGCACAGAGCTTATGAAGAGAATTGCCTACACTGGACAACTATTCAACGATTATCGTACGGAGGCGGACAACTAGAAGGAAAAATACGAGGGTCTTCAGTTTGAGAAAGAAGTTTTAGATGAGGAGAAGTGTGCTTTGGAACAACAAGTAAGAGTGATGGCGGCATAATTGGCAATTGAAAAAGCCTCTTCCAGTCAAGTTGGCAAAGATAAAGACATTCTTGAGTCTTCATTTGCAGAGCAGCTTTCCGAAGCTACTGAAGAGATTCGGGGTTTGAAAGAACTCCTTAATCAAAAGGAGACCTATGCCGGGGAGCTTGTTCAAACACTCACTCAGGCTCAAGAAGACCTTTGTGCCTCTACTGATAAGGTCTAGTACTTGGAGAGATCCCTTGCCCCTTTGAAGGCTTCTTATGATGCCTCTTTGACTGAAAGAGAAGAGTTAAAGGCTGAAATTGAGCAATGGGAGAAAGACTAGGAGGCTCTCGAAGATAAATCAACTCTTGACGTAAGCTGGGCTTTTCTGAACACGCGCCTCGAGACTTTGATGGAGGCTAGCCAGGAAGGTTTTGACTTGAATGCTGAGATTGCAAAAGCTAAGGAAACTATTGAAAAAACTCAGCAAAGTCAGAACTTTTCCTAACCTGAGGTCGGAGTTCCCGAAGGTGATGAACTTACTCCTAGTGAAGTTGGTGTTCCAGCCTCTTCTGCTCAAGTCGAATCTTCTCCCGCTGCTGATGATGCCATATTAGATTCTGCCCCATAGTGTTCTTAGTTTGTTTCTTGAACTTTTGATGGAAAGTTTGTTTTGTTTGTTTTTGTTTTTTATTTTTGGAATGATTGGCTAGTTTTTACCCCTGGTCCGTTTTGGGGTTTGTAATCAAACTAATACCTTGGGTTTAACTAAGTTTATACTTAGTTTTAGCCAGGTTTATTATATAATATTTCGTTTGAGTTTATGTTTTACTCTTTGACTTGCATTTTAAAAATGCTTTAGTATTTCGTGATTTTGGTAGACATGAATTTTATAAAAGAGGGCCCTTTTATAAACGACACTAATGAAGAAGACGTCTCAACT